TCAAATGTACAGACATGCAAAAACTGAAAAATGATGAAGCTGGTGGACAATATATATATATATATCAATGAAAGAGACATTTTGTGAAACATCCAATAGTTTTTGGATCAGTTTTGTTATAATCTTACAAACATTCAGGGACCTTAAATCAGGGACCTACAGTACATTTCTTAAATATAAGAATATATGATCTTTCATGCAGCACGAGTAGCTCATATAACTTATGACTTTTCTTAATAAAAAAGATGAGCATTCATAAGAGCCATACCTACCAACATGTCTATATAGGGCTGGTGTAACACCCTGCCAAAGTTTAGGAAGTCCTTCTTCACGAACTGCAAACCAAATGCATAAAAAGTACTTTAATACATATGTTGCAACAAATGAAGTTTTGTAGACGAATTATATAGAATCTATGGAATTATTAAGGAATTTTTAAATTATACTGTGTCTTGTGATTGAGCCATTTGGACTTGGATAAATAAGGGACTAACTCCCTCCCCTGCCATCTACCTGTAAACCTACAGCTTGCAAATAGTTCAACTGTATTTATAAGTTGATCCACTGAGGTATCAAAGAAGTCTGTTAAGTTATGGGTATCTCGCATGGGATCCACATACTATCCAGCAGCTCTACTTCTTGGACTGCATTCCCACAGATTTAGATTGATCCATCTGGATCGACCTAACTCCCAGGGGGTTCATGCTAAATTCCTGTCAGCAGAGCATGCACAGAAGTTAATTACCCTCTTACAGCTTTTAGTAGGCGGGGCAGACATTTAAGCCAGCTAAGCTGACACTAGTGAGTCTCCCCAAGGGGATAGATTGATCTAAAATCTGTGGGAATTAATTTAATGAACTCTGATAATTAAATTGATAATTCAATGCGACTGATTAATTGTAGATATTTTATTCCACAAATAGTTAAGGACAACATGTCAAGACCACCATACATATTTCACAAACCTATGCCAACTGCAGTTTTTAACATGCCCCTGTGTGAAGCTGCCTCTTTGACCCCCTCAGAAGCCTGATGGGTGAATGCATGGTGGCAATGCGTTTGCTCTCCTTGGATCTGTAACCTGGTTTTTGTAAGGTCTAATGGATACGTAACTGAAATAAACAAGTTGATCATAATTTGCAACAAGAACCCTCAAACATGTAAGTCTTTGACCTCTGGCATTTTCTAAATTCAGTTACAAGGTAACTTTGACAAATATCTTTGTTATCAATAAATGAATCACATGTTTAGTTTTGTAAATTGCAAACTACTTTTGGATATGCAACATGTACTGAAATTAAATCAGCTCTCATTACATTAGAATGGGCTCATAATTTCTTGTAAAACATATAACAATCAAATAGCGGGTCATTGATCAAAATAATCTACCACAAATGAATGTAGAAAAACGTACAAAATCAAAGACTGTGACGGTAAATGGTACAGGTACTGTATAGGTACAGGTGCTTTAATTTTTGCAAGGCAATGGCTTTTTGATAAAAATAAAAGAGACAGAAAAGCTGTCAAATGTAAAGTTAACATGTAATTATAGGCGCACTTCAGCATATTTGAAGGTAAAAAATGGAATGGTTATACATGTACTACCAGTATATCCATTCATTTCGTTTCATATGGAAAAAGTGCACGGAGACAACGCTGTATGTGTCTGTACGTAAAAAGTCGGACGAGGGGCGACAATGTTGTAAGTATTCAACCGTATTAACTCTTATTCACTGCATTGCATGCATGTATGGTAATTTCTGAAAAAATCCCAATCACGTTACCAGATTCAGCTACAACAGCAGCAACAGCAGATAATGCAAACTTAAACATAAAGGTCTCATGAGAATTCGTTTTATCCGCCATGTTCGCAATGATAAAGAAAAAGAAAAAATGAACAATATCAAATTTCAATATGAATTAACAGCTACAATCTTTTCGAAGCATATCTCCAGTATTTTCGACACACATTCTTAGTGGCCGAGATTAAAAGAAATATGACCATGACCTTATGCGGAAGAGCATGAAGAGGCTTTAGTAAATAGTGCTACGGCACTACAGAAGACCCAGGCTTAAATATGAACTTTTACAATATTTGCACACAACTTCGCCATAATATAGTATTTTTTGAAAACATTTACAATAAATGATATAATATGAATGACAAATCGAAAATAAAAACAATGTAAATGTGCGAATGAATATAAAGTACCTGTGCACTACTTGCAGTAAGATGTGACATCGGTAGTTTTGTCCAGGATTTTACGCTATATGTTTTACTGACTTATTCATTAAAGGAACACAGTTAGCTGTTAACATCATAGAAAGTAGGACGTACAGACTCACATTGGTATAATATTTTACCACTTAGATCTGCCTGACTACACAGTTGACCAGAAGCGTTGTTCTAGAAATCAAAATGGAGGCCACAGCTAAACACGATTTCAAAGCGACAGCAGAGGATGAGCTCACATTTAAAAAGGGAAACTTGCTTAAGGTACGTTTCGTCATGATTTTAAGCACAGTTTTTTGTTGTAAAAGAATATGAGATTTTCTTTTACTTTTAACTCCTATAAAATGTACCTTGCGCTAAAAGAGTCGCAACTTCCGGGCGGAAGTGCTGATTCAACTAGTAGATAAAAGTTTTTAAATCCCTGCTACAGCTAGCACTGACAGTGTATTGTTGGGGGGGTAAAAAATATTTTTGTTATAACTTTAGACATTGCTTTTAACTCACAATAGGTTAGACCCTAAAATAATGATAAGCCTTGAATTTTAAAAGAGAAAGGCGCTCATACAGCACACACTGTAAGCTTGGGGATTTCCTAAATCAACAGAAATAGGACAAGTGACCTAGCACTATTAAAATGGCGATATTCTTGAGCATGTAAGGTATATCATTACTATGGATTTATACAAATAATTGAAGACGTAGAGATTAGGAAGAGTGAACATTTCAAAATAGAAATGTGGAATATCACTATGAACAGATAAAAGACGAACATACATTTGAATATAGTACTTGCTTATTTTGAAAGTCCATGACCACCAAACATGGATGTGGGAGATGGTATGAAAGTGTGATTTTTTGTAAGGTTTTGTTTTTCTGCCTGTTTGCAGGCCCTTGGCAATGAATAGACAAGTGGGAAGCCAAACCACAATAGCATTAATTAACAGATAGAATTATTTATTTTCTGCACCCTTGTTATACGAAAGACATATGGTATTTCAGAATGTTTGACTCACCTGGTTTAGTTGCCCTTTTTACTGCACTTCAGTCTAAATAGATTCCGATTTTGTTCTCTTGCCCACATTTGTTTTTGTGGTATAAAAGGTTTAACAAAGTCTGCTTTGAAATTATTTGAACTTCAGGAAATATGAATTCTTTGCTGACATCGAAATATAAACTGCGCCCATACAAAGAAACAAGTATGGTTTTGTAGAAGTATGATCAAAATAAAAAATCAAATCAATCTTTCATATTTGGCTGCTTTATTGTATCTTTTAGAACTGCCAGGTAGGAGGGTTATTGTTAATTTTTTTCAATTTAAGTTTTTGGAATCAATGTATCATAAAAATCTTTCATCACATTGTCTGTTGTTAAATGAAGTTATTGTTTTTATTTCAGATCTTAAGCATTGAAGAAGATCATAACTGGTACAAAGCAGAGATAGATGGAAAGGAAGGCTATATTCCCAGCAATTACATTGATATGAAAGAACATAAGTAAGTATCATTGTTCATAGACAACCAAAGTACCATTGAGCTGGGAACATGCTTGAATGAATTTTATTTCAATGAATATTGGAAAAAGAACTCTCCAAGTGAAAACTTAATCTAAACAATGGTGAATAGGCAAAATTAAAAACAAGTTATTTCTGACTTTCTTCAGTTGCATCTAGGTCATAGCATTTGATGAATGATTAATCTTACCATGAGCCTATCCTACTCACAGAGGATCATCTGGTCTTCAATGTGGTTATTACCTTTTTTAAGGCTATACTAAATCTCCTTCCCATATAGGTAAAAATGGAGAGAAAGTAAAAAAAAATATTTTTCATGGAGACTTAACTACTCTTTCACCTGCTAGTAGTCTATAACAAATTTATTGTCACCGACCCTGTGGGATTTGATGTGATCTTTGGGAATGCATTTCTCGTCAGACACACCCTTTGTATTTGTCATTAGGGAGGCTTTCATACATAGGTCCCCATCTATGTTATGTACAATGCAAGTCGAGCATAGCCTCAAACTTCGGGATTATTCACATAAACCCATCGTACTAGCTGGATCGATCCAACTCTGCAGGAGATTCTCGTTGAGTGCAATCGTTTAAATGAGCTTAAGTGTCTGACATACCTACTCCACTTAGCTACTCAAGGAAGAGTGTAAGACAATTTAAGATGATTACAATGAATGCATTTTAATGAGAATCCCCCCCCCCCCAAGTTGGATTGATCCAGCTGTTTAAAGCTGAAAGTACCCAACAGAGTGATTACACCCAACCCAGCAAAGATCCTCTGCTGCTGAGCCACCATTTATAGCAGACAAGCTGATGGGGTGTATTCCCACAGGGTCTTAAATCTTGCATCCTGTTTTAGAAGCTTCTGATAGAGGGTAAAGGCGAACCACTCACATCAGTGATTCATTGTTATGGTCCCTGTAAAAGATTACGGCGTATGGTCAATTCGCTTACCCTGAAATTCAGGTCCACCATGTACCTGCTTCTTTATTTTCAAACCAGCATATGTATATTTATCAGATAAGTCAGATGCAGGCACTCGTAAATTGAAGTTTACGATGCCAGTTGCAGACTACCATCCAGTCATGCAGATTTTCCGGTTTCTTAGAATGGCATTTGACACAGTTTATGGGCCCATTTAACGTTTTCTGATTGGTGTGGTGAACTTCAATCTAATGATGCTGAAATTTTGATGTGGCAAGCAGACATGTATCTAAGAATTTAAAAATAGAGAGTGCTCATGTCGCTTCTGAAACTCAGGCAGTGATTGCTTTGATGAACATTTTGTTTTGTTTATTACATTGCATGGGTTTTTTATTTGTCATTGTTATATATATATAAATGTATATTCCATATTTTCTTTTTGCCTTTATAATTATCGAACCGTGACATTTTATAAAACTGTAATGTTTTAACACTTATTTAGATAGGCTATGTTTAAATATAATCTGTTTGAGATTTTTCTGCCAAGCATATTATCCTTGAAAGTGTCCTTAAGGTTCAATCCCTCAAGTTAAAAGGTGGATATCAATAAAGCTAGCTTTAAATGAATTTTTTAAAAACTTTAAACTTTAAAAAGATTCCATTTTGACAATAATATTAAATTATGATATGGCAAAAGGAGAATACACAGTTTGTATTGGACAAGAGTATTTTCAACCGAACTTAAAGATGCATACAAAGTCAATTGTTTGTCACAAAAACCAACCAAACGCCAGCATATAGTTTCAAGTAGTATAACTAAGAGAATTACCAAAAGGCATTTGTTTAATTTTACTCGAAAATGATGTTTGGACGGATTTTTCTGCTGGCATTCTAAGCTGTATGTCAATGGGGCAGGAAAGTAGGTCACGGAAGTAGGTTAAATTTACAACCAAAAATTTAAAGAAAGTAGCAGTCTAAAGGTCTTTTATGGCTGATCGAGTGATCTATTCAGTTTATCCCTTGGCATGTCAAATTTATTTGAGTCATATAAGAATCTAGTAGAAGTGGTTTACATGTGTTACTGGAAATCCATGCTCCACCGATGCTTGGTTTGTATGTACCTTTAAGAATCTACCCAAAATCTGGAGACTATCTAGATTCATACATTGCATTTTCTTTTTTTGGGTCACGTAACCAACAATATCAATTAGTCATTAAGCTGAGAAAAAACCGTACATTTGATTTAATTTTGAATATTTTGAATATTAAACATATTTGGTATATCTGTTTTTGATATTATGTTTGTGAACCGTCTTTTTAACCTTTAGCACACTGCATTTCCTTTCGAGTGATTTTCTCTGCCACTTCCCTTTTTCTTTCTGAGACAGCAAATATTATGAAGACATGACTATTTTTAGAGAGCCATAACCTTTGCGTTGTGCAAAGAATGCATTATTCTCTCCTAACATGTTTTGACTGATAAAAAATAAAAAGATTTTTAAATCTCAGTGTGTTGACTTACTTTTATTAGTGTCTGAAAGGTGCACTATACCCTGATCCACCAGACTGATATTACCTCTTGAAGCAGTTGCATTGTCTCTCATTTAGGTCAACAAAAAACTGATGTCACTCTAAGAAATTCATTATCTTGTTATGTCAAGTGAATAATGATGACACTTGAAAACGGATTTTTGACGATGTTTTGAAATGGAAACACGGGGGAATTGTGAAGTGCCATCTTGGCACCGTTTACAGGGCAACAGATTGTGCCTGCAGCTACAGGGGAGAATACCCAAAAGGTGGCATGACTCGTCTGCAGCGTGCTAAAGGTTAAGCAATGAACTGTAAGTTTTTAACTGGTTTAAAGCATTTGATTGTCTGAAGTATAGCTTGATAGAGGTTGTAACAGTGTGTCATTGGATTAGCAGGGAAGGTCTCAGACATGCTGAAACTTTTTTAATATAGCTGGACATGTGGATTGGCAGTGAAAAAAAAGTGCTGGACCAAATTTTTTCATCATTTATAGTATCACATTGAAATACTAGTGAAAATACTCATTTATATTTATACTCAGAAAATGTAAATGGCAGCTCTAAAATTTGTTGCTGGTTCTTTGGGTTGGCTGAACTAGGATTTTTTAACATTGACTTGGAAAATTTTGTTGATCATGACTGGTTAAGCTGACAGTTTCAGCATGTCTGTGTCTTTTAAAGAACTGTTTGCCCATAAATTAGTTTCAGAGGCTCATGTAGTAGTTGAAATGACTTGATGTATACATAGTAAGGCAAATTGTACAGGGTTGTTGTATCAGTTCATTTTCTAGTTTATTAAAGAAGAAATTTTACAATTTGAAATTGCAACAACAGAATTGAATTTATACTCTTTCATGACATTATGTAATGTACAGAGAAGTCTGCAAATTTTGAAAGGCGAGACTTGTTCATACTTTTTGAATGAAGCACTGTAAATCCATAGATTGCAGGTGAAATGTGGCAAGTTATTACGTTAATTAATATTTATTAATGTGTGTGGCTTTTAGAATAATTAGTAATGGGTTGATGTATCTAGTATTGGGTCATAGATTATTAACTCTTCAAATTTGAAGAAATAAATGACATCAGTGAATAATTTGAATATTTGTTTGGATTCAAATTAAGATATCTTTGTTTTTCTTACAGTTGGTATGTAGGAAAAATGCCGCGTGTTGAAGCTGAAAAGATGTTACTCCGTAAAGATCAAGGATTTGAACAAGTGGATGGTGCTTTTCTTATAAGGCTCAGTGAAAGCTCACCAGGAGAATTCTCATTATCAGTCAAGTAAGCTCATGCAGAAATATGCCACTAGCTCAAAAGATCTGAAACTGGTTTAAGACAATTTCACTTTGGTCTTGGATTTAACCTTTATTTTAAGGTAAAATAGGACAATAGTATATGAAATATGTTTGTGGTTATTTTGAGGAACTTCATAGACCTCTTCTTTTGTAGTATTGTGAGAATTTACACTAAGGGGTTTCTTTTTAGCTACATGAGCTAAGGGTAATCAATGCATTTTCACAGGAGAAGCAGCAAATGTAAACTTTTCCTACTTATTGTCCAATAAAAGTTAGAGATATCTTATAAGTTTCTGATATATTAGCATATTTGTGTGATTGTTATTACTTTCTTCTACGTTTTTTAGGTGGGGAGATGGTGTGCAGCATTTCAAAGTATTGCGAGACGGCTGTGGCAAATATTTTCTGTGGATTCAAAAACATGATTCCCTGAATGAGCTGGTAAAATTCCACAGGACAACAACTGTCAGTAGATCAAGTACCATTTATCTCAAAGACATGATACATATAGGTAGAAATAAAGAAAGGGATGCGTCTAAGTCTGCAGTAAGTACCATGTCGATCATGTAAGAACCAATTTGAAGTGTAGGGCAAAGCAGATACAGCCTTGAAAAGTGCTAGAATATAGCCCAGGTGCCATAAATTTTGATTAATTGGAAAAAAACTTGTAAAGAGCTTATACTGCACCATTTTCCTTGAAAAGTACATGAATTTGATCAGAAAGCAATTTGTTCAAAGATTATTTCAAATTTTGTAGTTTTTATTTGGAATATAGACAGTCATTCACAGAAAGAAAAGATACTTTTGGAATCCTTGAACAAAACTTGTATTGGAGCTCCAAAAGTCTTTGAAAGTCCTTGACTTTGTTCTTGATGTTGCTTTAGAAACCTTGTAGGGTTTGCTTTACCTTTTAATTTTAACTGTAGAAGTGAGGGTCATGTTAGCTACTTTTTGTCCCTATATTAGAAAGTAGTGGTTATATTTCATGAAAACGTCTTGAGGACTCCATATGTTGTGCTATTGGACATATGAAGATATCTTTTTCCAGTTTTTCTAGGGTACTCTGATGTATTTTTTAATAAAACATATTAACAGATAAAGACTATTTCCCATGTCATTTTGACCCTAAAAAACTTGTATATATTGTTTTACTTTTCTTTTTGTTTCATAGAACGAAGAAGAGTTAGTCGAAGCTCTGTATGACTTCACTCCTGAGGAGCCAGAGGAGTTAAAATTTTCTAAAGGGGACATCATCAAAGTGCATTCTAAAGTGGATTGCAACTGGTGGAAAGGAGAATGTAATGGACAATCTGGACTCTTTCCTGCAACTTATGTGAATGCCTTAAAGAAACAAGCTAACAGACATTAAGAAATATAACCAAGCTGTACTTTTGTAGGGACTGGGCAATATAAGGAACTGCTTGTGTTGCCAGTTCTTAGAACAAATAAATGTGTTTAAAAGACCTAAGTTTAAGGCATTAAGTGCAGTTTCCCATTGTATTTAATTTCATGTAATTTTTCAATTTTAGTACAACTGGGGAATGATACCCTATTGATTTGAGGAAGAAGTAAGTTCCTTACAGTGCTCATTTTCCCTGTTATTCAGTCTTATGTTAGACATGAACTTAAAAAATAGAAGTACAAACTTTAATAGAAAAAAGTTTTAAAAATTACTGCGGATTAAAACTGTTCCTACTTGCCCATCTAGTGTATTTCAAATCTGGTAAGAGATTAAACAAGCTTATTGCCGATTCATTTTTATACCAGTTGATGAGGTCTATATTTTGTAGTGAACTACTCGACAAATAGCAAAGAAATTTTGTTTTGCATTGCCCTTTCCTCTATGGTGAATATTTTGTTAACCCATGATTTGAAATACATAGTTTGGTTACGTTAGTAGTTGATCAATTTATAAAAAGGAAGTGGATCTTCCATTGATTACTTTTTTTTTTTTCTTACAATTATTATTATTATTTTTTTTTTATTTATTTTTTGCTACAACGGCTCATCTTTAAACCTGCTGAAGAAAAGTAATTTGAATTGTAAGACAGTACTTCTGACAGCCTCAAAGAATCTTTTTCTTCTTTGGGCAAAATCTAACATTTTGATGTGAAGGGGGAGGTAGAGAGGTAGAGCCACAAGATTTGTAAAATTGCATCACAGAATGGAAAATGCTTTGTCAGTTATGATAAATCGGATTACCATGAAGTGTGTCAGAATTTATTTCAGCATTATTTATTATTTCATTATTTATATTCATGGTGTGGGATTTTAGAAGTGGCTTTGTAAGTTCACATTTCGGATCAATTTTTTCTCCAGAAAATGTGTATAGAAAAAAAAACTAGACAGTGCTTGTACTTACAAGAGCCTTATGGTTAAATGAAAGAATAGATTGTCTTTGTAATATGTGCTTTCAGAGCGAAGTACCAATTTTGCAGGCATTTTATTTTGGTAAAATATTATAGATTAGCAGATGAAATGTATTAATTGCTTTATACACGTTTGCAGACTATTGGTGATGATCTGCATTAACTTACTAATATATTACAATATTTATATATAGAATTTTTGTAGCTTTTATCTGCTTTAAACAAGATTTCCCTCTACTGTTGTAAAATAGGTATTGCTCCATTTATGTTGTGAATACCAAGTTGGTAGTATTATGTTCTCAAATGAAATGAGGTGAGGCCATGGAGTTCATTGGTTCTGTAGAGGGTCATAGGAAGAGAAGATCTGGGTGTTGGCTTTTGTTATTGGGGAGGTACTGGTCTTCAATTTACACAGTGTTTAGTACTGCATCAGAGATAATCCCAGGGCACATTTTCATGTGAGAAGCTTGTTCTCACTTAGCATAGACAATGCCTTGGAGCTATTGAATGTAGTGTATGTTGCTTAGGTGGGCCTTTCCTCTCCCCTTGACAAATCAGGACAATTCACAGATTTATTTGACCTGTACTTGTATACAATTAAGCTTAATGATCACATTGCATGGCATTCTACACTAGTAAATCTTAATCAAAAAATATCAATTAAGCTGCTTTGTTTGATTTGGTACAGCCCCCTTTACACTAGACAGCATCTTTTGTGCCTATCTTCTACAATAAAAAGTGTGACCATGACACTCAATGGTCGCCAAAGTGTAAATATTTCTGCGTCTCTTGTGCGCCCTCTGTGCAACCTACAGTGTTCATTGCGATTTGAGCATCCTCATTGCATTCTCTGTACCTTCGTCGGTGGTTAGTGGAGACAATTCTATAATCTTTCTGCCTCCTGCTAGATTGTTTTGAATATGCTCAAAACTTTGTGTTGACCAGTGTTCTCAGTGATGCTTAAACATTCTACATCTGATCACCGTGCATTTCTTGAGCGTCCAACAGCGACCTTGCAAGTTTCATGATCGCACAAAGGATGCAGAAAGGAGGTTGTCTAGTGTAAAGGAGGTTTACCAGAGAAATATATATAATACAGTGTGTAGATTTGTTTGTGTGTCCAAGTTAATATCATGATTAAATACTAGTTGAACATTACTTTAAGAGATCATGCATATAGTAAGCAGGCTTGGCAAAATTTTTCTATTATTGCTTTTATATGAAGTGTGAAATTAAGAAGAATTTAATGAAAGAGCTGCAATGCTGTACTGCTTGCCTTTCAGCCTGCAGATTTCAACTACAATACATTTGTATATATTATTTTCAGAAAAAAATAGCTTGTTGAGTCTCTCTTATTATAATAAAAGTATTAAACATACAAACTGAACATTACTTAGTATTTTGTTGATATCTCAAAATATTGTGGGTGAATGTTAATCTTTTAATTTCAAATCGGTTTGGAGGCTTAGCACAAGGTGAAAAAATTGTTATGTTAGCATGAGCCTATCTTTTATGCAGAGGATCGACTGGCCAAAAAGGTTATCACTTTTGTAAGTGGTAATATTAAAATAACTTAAATTACTTCCCCTCCCTGGTAGGAAAAAATTGTGACAGTGAGAGGTAAACATATATCAAGACTTGTACCGTATAATCCAAGCATTTACTTAGAAAACTTGTCTTTAAAGAAACTAAACTTTGTGTTCTGTGTTAAAAATTGTCAAAAAAAAAAAAAAAAAAAAAAAAAAAGTGGATTTGCTGATAATGTGATAAACTAACAAGCTTTCATAGGAGGATATAACTGTAATCTTTGTATTCTGTAGCCACTATTTTTCAAATTCTTCGTCTATGCCTTATTTTCAGTTCCTTCAGGTATGAGCACTGAGGAACAAATGATATACAACAAACCATAAATTGTTCTGAATTTTTTAATTCGGTCAGGGAAAATTGCCACAAACACAAATGCCTTCATGCGTGTATGGAAATAACAACCATGTCACATACACATACATGGGCGAAAGTTTTCAGGATTATGCTCCAGTTAAGGATTTTCATTCTTCAATTCGATCATTTTTCATAAGGTCAAAATGCAATGAGAAATTGCAAGCAACGTTTTCAGGATTTTTGTTTTTTACAAATCGGTCATGCACATGTCTCGCACAAAAATGATGCTAGATGTTCATAGAGACCAGGCAATCAGAAGTGAGTTCATTGTTAAGCAGGAAAAGGCAGTTGTCTTGTTGCTGTTGGTTGACGGGTCAAATGATTGCTAGTAAGCTGGTCATGAAAAAGAAAGTTTACAAAGGGCTTCTGCCATGTTTGTTTGGCTCAGTGCTCCAGAAAAATTGAGAATTCGTCAGTTTATGGGAGGACAAGTTGTGGCTGCTTCATATATGGCAGTGCATCAGCTCACAATGTTTGAGATGAAGACTGCTGCACTTAAACATTTTCTTTTTTTACCTGATCTTGGTTTATGTGACTTTTTACTTTACACCTGGGGGCCAAAGATAGGACCTATATTATAAGCCTTCAGGACATCAAGAGATAAAGAGCATCCCAGAAGAATCCACTAAGCAGTTCATAAGAGCATGACAGTGTACAAAAAAGTGCACTTGACTTGATGACTTTGAAGGAGAACCATGTTGTGTGTTGCTTGGAATGTAGATGAATTGTTTGTGACACCAATTCCATTTCTTTTCAGTCAGACCTCATATATTTTTGTGTATCAGCGTGTATATCATGAAGGAAGCATAATTATTCTCTTCAGTATCATTGCAAAGACTTTTATCTTTTTCTTTTACAGTTGGTATGTTGGAAAAATGACACGCAGTGGGGCTGAAAAATTTTTACTCAAAAAAGAACAAGGATTTAAACAACCAGATGGTGCTTTTCTGGTAAGAGACAGTGAAAGCACACCAGGAGATTTTTCATTATCAGTCAAGTAAGTGGACTCATGTAAAAATTTGCCATTTGCTCAAAGTTATTATTAGTATTATTTTGGGGGGCTTA